ATATGATATGATATGGCTTGTGGATTATTGAAATTAGTCTACCCTTTCACTGACATTGTGCCGGAACGCTTGCCAAAATTAAAAGTGTAAACATAAAATATATACCTAGTTTGTCGTGTTATCCTATTTCGTATTGTTTTATTGTATTAACTGTCTTATAAGTACTGTTTAATAAACGAGCAGAAGTGTTTTATTAGGTTTAAGAACACGAGCGCGCAGCGCGAGTGGCTTTAGACCTAATAAAACACGACCTGCGAGTTTATTAAACGGCTTCAAACACGACTACAAATTCAATAGATATACTGCCTTATTAGTATTCTTTATTTTAAAGCCACTGCACGTGACATATTATGGTTTGCCAATAAGCATGATTTGCCAATAAGCTTATGAATTATTAATGAGTGTTTCACTACGTTTATATCATTGCATAAATAAATCACTCGATCCGGTGGACTGATGTGTCTTTATTGTTTCAAATGCAAGATTTCATGTTTTTAATGATTGTTGCATTCGCTTTACATTGTTCTCAAATATTTCATCTTTAAATTAACGAAATGTAATACATATTTAAAGAGTATAGGCACATCATACTGGCGTGAGTACAAGAAGCATTAGGCGTTTAGATGGGGTCTGGGATCATTTTTGAATACGGATCAGTTTACCCTTTCAATTATTAACGTCCTGGCCGACATGATTAGTCAATAATTATGGGGCGCCTATTGGAATAAATATGAATGTAATATGATCACTATGAAACTCTTAATTCTGCACAGAGGCAAAGACCACTTTTCTTGCATGGCAAACTTAGGGGAAGACAGGGGCCTGTACATTTTCGTAGCGAAGTTCATATACTGAACTTTGAAAGCTATAGTTATTAGATAAGAATATGAACGTAAAAGAATAGTATAGTTAATACATATATACTCATATACATCATAACATGTATAAAGCGCTACATTGTTTAGTATACATAATATAGAATGGTTAAATGAGATTGCCTTACCGTCGGTGCTTTGACATTGTTTTCCTTATTTAATTTCTGGAATGGAAATAAAATGTATCAGAGTTAAAAGAAAAAATCATTGTTTCTAGACGAATTGTACAGAAATATAAATGATTACCTGAATGGTCATCCCGCTCGGCGGAAAGGCACATTTTTGTTCGGACGATCTGTTGCAATCAGGGCTATACACAAGCCGACGGTTTGTCGCTGTCGAAGCTTGAAACTGAGAGGACATTGCTGAATCGATGTATAATTTAAATCCTGTTACTTGAGTTTGTGAAATTTCTTCTACGTTTACTGTTCTGTTGCCAGCAAGTGAGAATGATCGAATGATCCTCGTGTTCAAAATTAGCGCGTAAATGCGCGCTGCACGCATTCGTTGTTGATTGGTTTAAAATAGAAACCATTTCAACAATTTTCGTCAGTGATTGGCTAGAAGCGGAACTCGTTTCGCCAAATTTCGCAATATTTACATGGATTATCTGAAACTTGAAACCACATGCACACCCCTGATCAAGATTCGTGTACGTTAATATTATAATATAGCTATATACGAGGTTATATATATATGCGTTTTTGTTATTTTATTTCGGGTTCGGTATATTATTTTAGGCCCTGATTATTGGCACTATCTACACTGGCACAGACCGTTCGTGTTCATATACTTTTATATGTAGTCACGATTTTATGTATATTATAAATATATATAAACTACGACTACAAATTCGACATATATGTCGATGAATTATTAAAGTATGAATTATGTACATAAAAAGCAAAATCAGCATGAGTAATTTTGGTTTTTAATTTGCGGCCATAGTCGAGTCGTCACCTATATCTTGATCATTAAGCACCAAAATAAAGCTAGAATACAAGCTATAGATAGCAGGACGTTGACGTGATAAAATTCATGCCTATACGAATATGAAATATACAGGCATGCGCATAGATATAAATATAAAATTCATGATTTTCAAATGGAAATGGTCATGGTCGTGCAATAGCATTGTTACAACATAAAAACTGGCATCTTTAAACCTTGACATTTCCAGCCTCTATCCTCGACCTCGAAACTCGCCCACAAATGATTATAAAAGGCGGATGCGGAAAGACGGATTGCCAAGGATAAAGCGCTGATATGATGGTAGAACGTTTAATTTGCCGTTTGTGTTTGCATTTTATGAACTGTTTCTAGATCGATGTTGAAAGTGCCAAAGTGGATTGCTGTTCGCAACGTATTATAGTAATCAGAAGCCGCAAATGTCAACTTAGTTGGGTCTTTGTCACAGAATCAGATCGTAATATCCGTATCTTACAAATAGGTCATTTCAAATCGCTGAAATAGCTCAATAATTATTCATGTTGATTTATTTGGCCAAAATTATCAAACGCATTAAAGTAGGTTTTCTTATGGTGCCTTACATACGTTGGCTGGCTGTCAAAATCACTAAAACCGTCACCTTGTCATTCTTGCGCGTGTCTTGTTGTCGAGTATCGGGTGAACATGCTGAAGTCTTCAAAAACTGATTTGTCACTTTCCGTTTCGACTCGTTCAAAAACATACTAAAAACCCGTTCTGGCAGATTACAATTATTTCTTGCTTTTTTTAATATAAATATTGAAAAACATATTAAGCGAAATTAGTTAACATATGAATAGAGACGATAACAAGATTACTGCAGATTAAGAGTAGGACTGCTGAAAAATACAAGCAGAATTTCGACTTTCGAGGGAAAGGTCTTCGTCTGTAAGTTAGTGGCTAGTATTAACGAAGATTCACTCGCACCTTATCAGGCTTATTAGTTTGAGCTGGCGTATAAGCCGGTATATAGCTTCGGTATTTCCGTAAAATAACATCGTATGATCTCGAACAATTTACAAATTTGGCAAAGGACGAGATGCCTGCCGAGGAAGCTACTGTATCAAAGCCAAAGGACGTTTCCGACGTTATCATGCCGCTCTTCGAAGTGTTTGTCTGTATACATACAAATGAAAATACCTAATATAAAGATTACAGTCCATAGATTATGCATATATGAATTAGTCTGTCATAAAAACTGGAGCATCAGATTTATTTGGATGTCAAAAATCGCAAGGCTTGTATGTTTTTCACGCCGGCTATGCCTATATATGCATGCTTGTGTTTTTACATACCATGGCATATGATATCAATGAATATGTCCATATTCATAATTCATACAGGTATTTTCATGCGCACATATATGTAGCTAAAGCAAAGCATTTCGGACTCATGCAGATAAACCCAACATTGCAATATATATTGCATGCAAAAGGGAACAGGCCTGATATTGCAACTGCATGCCATAAAATTAACTTCAACCGATTTTAGCCTAACACCTGGCTTATATCTTTCTTTCGGGTGTTATTTTTTGTGTCATCATTACAAGATTAGGAATATGTGAATGAGATTAATATTTGAAATGCCCTACGTCAATGTGCGCTAATTGATAATTAGATGTTCGATAGATCAGCATGATGATGTTGTTTGTTTGACTACACTGGCTGTTTCGTGTTGCATGTGTGCATGCAAATACCAGTAATGATGTACTATGCTATGCAAATCCCAGTATAGGTCTGTGCGCGAAACGTAAGCTTCCTAATCTTTTCTGATATCCAATTAAATCTTCTCAAAGACAATGAAATAGGCATAGCCACATGCAGTAAAAATATTAAAGATTCGTTCAGACATACAGCAACGTTTTGCATTTGGAGTATAAAATTTGTGGGTTTTAGCACAAGCATTTTTGTTGCATTAAGCTAAATAATATCAAATGCACTTTATTGTGAATTTTCAAAAAAGTCAATAAAACAGTAAGTGTTTGAAGTGCATGTGTTTATTGAATTATTGTGAACGCTTGTCATGGGTAGACGCGTGGCCAAGCCAACCAACATCTTACTAAATACAAAATTTTGCTGTATAAATTATAAACTCTTTTGCATATTTTACGTAGAATAAAAATGCGATGTCATAAAAAACGCAAGAGGTTGCATGCATGGGTTAAGCGATAACAGGAAAAATTCTCAAAGGCTTATGTTTTGCGTTTTAAGCAGAACATGCATGGATTTTGGGCTGGGCGTTCAGGGGAACTGAACGTAGCTAATTTCGTGAAAAATGCATAATTTTGGTAATTGTATTTATGGTATAAATAATTGTATTTATGGTATAAATATGATGGACTGCCAATGCAGTACAAAAACTACATTTTTTATCCTCGAAACAAAAACTATACATTTTTTATCCTCGAAATACAAAACTTTGCTGTATAGATTGATCTTTCGTACTCTTACTATCCCTATTGTACTTTTACTATCGCTATGCAGATTGACTCACCCGAATTGTTGCACTATGCGACCTTTATTACTATACATAAGAATATATGAATACATTTGTACGCTTTAGTATATATATCTTAAACTTTACTGGTATTTTCATGCACACATGTAAATTCTAACTCAACCGTGACAGTGCATGTAATTAAACCTCATGACACGGCGTTAAATGTAAATGTAGCCTGCGGCTGCAGGACTTAAGTATGATATTTAATATCCAAACATAGCAGTTTAGCGGAGTTACGTCATTTTTCATATGCATTTCAAAAAGTAATCTAAATCAATGAATTATATGCATGCCTTTAACTACAATAATATTATTGAATGCACTTTATTGAGAATTTTCGTATAATAAATACAAAACGTGACGCTATGCCGCCCTATTCTTTTGCATTCTTTACGCAGAAAAAAACCGCTATGTCATAAAAACATGGGTTAATTAAGTTTAAAAGCTTATGTTTTGCGTTGTAACCGGAACGTGGGATTTTGGGCTGGGGCATAAGGAAATAACGTACTTTCGTGCAAACATCATTAATTGCAAAGAGATCAATGGCTATAAATTTCACATTTCACCGTTTGAGTTTTATATACCACATGCACCTTGTTGAGGTTAAATACAATAAATCTTCTGTCATTTTCGGCGAATATGGATACTTTGGGATATGAAATAAATATAAATCTGAATGATGCAAGGCAATATGCTATACTGCCAGCGAGCGCTGAAAATCCGCAGAACATCAGTTCTGAGGCAATGACACACCCACCACCGTTTATGTGTACAGTCCGAGAAATGCGAGAAAGATATATGACGCGCATAGAAAATATTCAAGATCAAAAAGGAAACAATAAGAACATGAAAAAGATTGTGCAAAAATGGAAAACGGAGAACAAAAACAAGTTTGGAACTAAAGTGGTAAGGGAAATGATGAGGAGAGACATTTAGCGATTTTCAGCTATTGTTCCGTGATAAATATCTAAGTGAAAAACTGAATAATGTTGTTTTCATTTATTTCTGAGAAATTATGAAATGGTTGCACAATTGCCTGAGAACTGTTTTGACTTGGTCCTATGAATTGAAAAAAAATTTCTTGCGGGAGAGTTACCTTATGCCAGTAAAGCTCCGACAATAACCCAGAGTTTTTTCAAGTTTTTGAATGGAAAAAATCCGGAAGAGTCGTATGAATTACTCAGATCTGTTCGGGATGGCGAAAAGACATCAACAGAGTTGAACTATATTCCGACAGGAAAGGTTGTATTATTTACATATAGTTACTATACTTGTGACAGTTGTGTGTTATTTATATTGTTTTATTCGTACCGTTCACACACTTCATGTATTAACAGCATTGTCCTTCATTAGAAATGCTCTACTAACTCAGAGACAGGCGAAGCTCAAAAAGAAATAGAACAGGTAACATAAAACCTAATTAACACTAATAAATTATTTTGTCAGCTACACTCGAGTTTTAGCTGATCTTTTTTTTGAGATTTTAACTTATAACTCTGTGATCAAATGTTTGAATTCAGTTAAAGGAGACCGTTGTGGCACAGCGAAATCAGCTCAAAAAATTTGAAATACTGGAAAACAAATACTCCAAGGTATATAATTAGGTGATACGATAGTCATGAATAATTGCCCGATTCATATACCAAGTAACCAAGGTAGCTTTTATACTTGATTTCATGCAGGTATACACTTCTCACGTATATATATATATATATATATATATATATATATATATATATATATATACTCGACTCATGATGTCGTTGTTTTTCACTTTTTGTCTCTTAGTTGGCTGAGGAAAATAAGCAATTGAAAGAAACGTCAAAAAAGCTCAATGAGAAAGTGTCAAAATTAGAGGATACAATTCAGATTCAAAGGCAAAAGCTGAGCGAGGTTTGTATATATGTATATGTGTACTTATATAGTTCGTATATAATATAGATATAATTTTTTTCCCCAATTTGTTCGTGTTTATAGCTTGCGCATGACCTTCAACAAAGCGAATTGTTTGGTAGACAAATACTAGATGACGAGATATCGTTAATGGAACGAAATAACGCCGTATGTACACATGCGTTTATCGTTTTTCTAAACCGATGCATTTCTAATATAATAGCAAAAAATTTCTTCATAACAATTTCAATATAACAGCATGAATTTAATGTTTTATAGAATTTGGAAAGGGAAAGAGTTTCAAAGGCCAATTTAGAAAGGAAACTGCAGGAACTCAAGAAGAATATCATTTGTGAAGGTGTTGGGGATGTCACGCTAGTGCAGGTAAGAACGTTTGTGAGAACTGATAACTTATACGATAAATAAAATAAAAAGTACATATGGTTCTGCTCTTAAGGACGATGAAAAGGACAATAATAAAGACAAATGTCTCAAATCTCCGTCCAAAAATCAACTGCTCCTGGAAAAACGTAAGAAATCATCCCTGCAGGACGACAAAATAGTTCCAAATACCGCAGCCTTGCTATATGAAGTAAGTTTGACATTGGATTTACGGCCTACATGCAGATGCACGTGTATACGTATGCATGCACGAGGGCAAAAAAACATAGGATTGTTTTTATCTCATTTTTGTATTACAAACAACCGACATACTATATATCAACCAACTATTTGAACTTTTTAATTATATAGAGTGACCCTCTTCAGTATTAAGACCCTCCATACTTGAATTATATTTTGGAATATTAATCAAAGTGACTTTAAATCATTTTTAGAATGATACTTCAGAAGTAAAAGAAAACGCTAATGAAGACAAGTGGTCGCCTCTAAAAATGACGACGATGTATTGCGAAAACATGGAAATATACAAGGTAAGAAATATATTGAAAGCATACTTGTATGTTGCTGTACTTGTACACGTGTAATCTAACAGTTTACAAATATTATACTCTTTTATAATATAGCATTTGTAAATTCTGAACGCTGATTGGCTAAGAGCCGTGTTGATATAACTCAATGTCAACACGGAAACGTCGGAAAAGATTTCTCTCTTTATATTTCTTTGTGCTATATTATAAAACAAATTTTTTTATTATAAAACATTTTTTCCGTATTGATATATAGTTATATCAACACTCGTGGAAATTGTGAAAACCCGAAAATTCCACATAATTTCTCGTTTTCCCAATTTCCACTCGTGTTGATATAACTGTATATCTACACGGAAAATGTTTTATATTTGTTAAATATCAACTGAATACTATTTTTAATTTGTAAGTATTCATGCTTTCGTTTTAGCCTTTTAATGACAGTTGTTGGGCAACTCCCGAAAAAGTAGCTGTTAATGAAAATGTGATTGAAGTAAGTTTGAAAATTCCCATTTCGGATCTATATATTCCCATTTGTACACCCCCGACCCCGTCGATACATGGGTTGAAGCTGGACATGAAACAAGCCCGTGTTTATAGCCAGGGCCAGGCTCTTGTAGTTCGCCTATATTTCCAATTTCTACATATAAACGACTGACTGAAATTCTTCTAGACGGAAACAGAAAACATATATGAACCAATTGACACGCCAAACAAACAGGAGATAATAAAAAATGCGGCGGTAAATATAATAAATGCAAATGAATGTTATTTAAACACAAACTAGCTAATGAGGCAGGACTTAATTTAGGACTCTATTTGTCCTCTTGTCTGAGCCTACAATTGTTATTGTAAAATTAATAATAAAAAATAACATTTTCGTAGTCCATTGGTAACCTGGGTGGGAAAAGTAAATCAACACTGGAAAATAAGAGAAAAGTTGAAAAAGAGGTAAGAAATGAACAACGTTATTATAAGAGCTGTTTCCATAAAAATGCGTACTGATTACTGAAAGTCAATTTTTCCCTTCTCAGGGTGACAATATTCCTACTAAGAAGAAAAAGCATGTGGAATTGACATCTTGTGAGCAGGTATACAAATAGTGTGTTTTGTAATAATAGCATAACTAACAAGTCCCAAAAATGAAACGACGAAAATTCCTCCATGTAATTAGATGTAAGTAGCTAACGCCACTGGCCACTGTTACTATAGCAACGATGTCTACAACAATTATCTTAGCATTTTCGTTTCCAAAATATTGCTTCATAAAATTCAGGAAAGTGGCTGTCAATTTCAATTAATCAATCATTCTTCAAAATAATTTTGTAAAATTGCTATAGTTTTTAGTAGGCATTCTAAACTAATCTTATATTACATTTTATTTAGAATTTAAAGAAATATTCATGGGTGGCTATTGCATTTGAACAAGATTTTTATATCGGAAGAATAAGAGAAGTTCAAGATGACGTAGATGGCGAGAAACTTGACATTGAATTTGTACAGAAATGGGATGGTCGGTATCGTTGGCTGACGAGAAAAGACGAAGCGGTGGTGGAAAGAAGGTTTGTTCTGTCTGTGGTGGAGATGAGGGCGTCAGGTCAATCAGGAAAGCATTTCATGCTTCATCAGCCGACCGAAAAAGACCTAAGGAAACAACACAAGGAATATTGCCGAAATTTCTTTGTTGGGGAAGGCAGTTCGGCTGATTGCGAATATCTTAAGACGGTTTCCACACCGACACCAGTTAAAGAGTTTTGTCCCATCGACAAGAAATGGCAAACCGAGAAGTGTTCTCAACTTGGTGTCGAGTTGATTTCCCCAATCCCATCAAAGCCCAAACAAAAAATGACAATCTCAAGCAAACCTGAAACAATAGTTGAAGTCGTTCCCGATGGTAACTGCTTTTTTCGATCCATTTGCTACTGGCTGACGGGTGCCATGGAGCAACACCATAACATCCGTTCAGCCGTAGTATCCTTTATGAAAGAGAAATGGTCGGAGCATGGGAAACGGATTGTTGGGAAAGATTATGAAAACTACATAAAAAAATTTCGGATGAATGAAGAAGGAACCTGGGCTACTGAAAATGAAATATTTGCAACCGCCGACCTCCTGGAAACAACGATCATGATATTCACTAAAGGCACGAAAGAGCATGAATGGGTAACACACAACCCAAGCAGAGTTAATTCCGTCAAAAAACTGTATTTAAAAAATGAATGTAATCATTATGAACCTGTAACTAAACTGTCTAAATAAAAATATATATATATATATTCGCCTATACTGTCCATTATTTTACTATTAAATTCAGGGTTCTTTGTAGTCAACCGCACATGTCTATTGTTACCCGATACAATTATCCGGATCTGGCATATCGTGCGGCACCGGTACTTAAAAAGGTGTATTCCGTACTGTCTATATAAACAATATTGTTCAATCTTGGTAATTTCGAACTTTTCTGCCTCGTGCAACTATAATTATAATATGTGAAAAGATCTTGCATTCCCACACCTCACAGACGTTTTATCATCAACACATTTAAGACTTTTTCTCTAAGTTTTGAGACGTATTTCGCTCTTTATGACTTTACAATAACTTTAAATGATCATACAATAACTACATAATTATAGATGTTGAATTTGCGACAGAGTCTGGGACTCTCTGATTTGGTTCCCCCTCTGGATAGTTCTGAGAGTTATTTTGAAATACTGTTGACAAATATGCAGTTACAAACAAACTAAGTAACAAACAATAACTCTATATTGGAAGTTTTATCTCTTGTTTATGTCACTATTACGAGTATTCACCAAAAATTTTGAATCAATACGATTAATTCCTCCTGGATTACAGCGTCTTGAAAAATTAAAGTGCTGACGTCAGCATTATTTTCGAACGCCTTCAGAACTGTGTTAAAGGTTAAGACGGGACTTCTCACCTGATATAAACAAGAATTTAAACATCTTCGCTCAAACTTGCCTTTATTTTAGCATTTGATTTTTGGATAAGTGCTTGGTGGTATAAAATTAATCATTTTATACCACCAACTGCACCAAGCATTTATCCAAAAATCAAATGCTAAAATAAAGGCAAGTTTGAGCCAAGATGTTTAAATTCTTGTTTATATCAGGTAAGAAGTCTCGTCTTAACCTTAACCAAGAATTTTTAACTAAATTTTGTGTATAACACAGTTCTGAAGGCGTTCGAAAATAATGCTGACGTCAGCACTTTTATTTTTCAAGACGCTGTAATCCAGGAATAGGTCTATTGATTCAAAATGTTTGGTGAACACTCGTAATAATGATATACTAACATGAGATAAAACTTCCAGTATGGAGGTTATTGTTTGTTACTTACCGTCAAAATGGGAAAGATCCATCACTTTTGTAATAAAATATGTTGTCAGACGTCCATGTTTATAAACAGTCGCATGGCTACCATCAGAAAATATCGTGATAGAAGACGACTCAACCTACACCAACTTAGCCCCAAATCAGCTCTTAAGCATTGTTTTCTGCTATTAAGCATTCTGCGCATTGTTTTTTTCTAAAATCAAAAACTCTAATCACGTCAGCAATTGACATAAAACGCTAAAGAATAAGCGCAATGATGTGAGATGGCGCTAGCAACTGCTCACGTCAGGTCATTTTGGAAGTTATTTCATTTTGTTAATCAGTTTCCGCGACCTGCGCGTAAAAATGGTCACCCGGTTTAGTTCGCGATTCTTGAGCAGGGTTTTTGTGATAACTGTATCGAGCCACCTTAACATTTTCGACAGCATAATAAGCCCCATTCTTCTAAACAATGCAGTAGTGTGGGGTGTATAGATCACAAACGATTTTAACAATTGGGATAAACTTCCGGTTGAAAAAGTACACCTAACATTCTGTAAGCTCTACTTGGGCGTTGGCAGAAAGACGAGTACTATCGCCTCAAGAAGCGAACTTGGAAAATATCCATTAATTATCAACGTATATTAAAAAGAATCTTCAAGTACGTCGCGCTCATCTTAACTCACTTCCTGAAACAACTATTTCCAAACAAGCTTTTCTCATGTCAAAAGATTTATTCATTAAAAAGAGCAATTCTTTCTATGGAAAAGCAATGGATATAGTGGAAACCCTAAACCGTAATAGAGCAATCTCAGACCTAGACTCTCTCACAACCAATATAGTTGAATCATGCGTTAAAGATACAAAATGAAGCTACCAGAGATTCTGGAGACATAAAGTAGAAGAATCATCCATACTTACCTTTTACACAAGCATAAAGGAAGACTATGAGCTTGAAACCTATTTGACTACCATAACTAACTCAAACCAAAGAAAACGTTTAACACAGCTCTGACTAAGTAACCATAAACTAATGATTGAACTAAGGTCTGCCAGTCAGGAGAAATTTGAACGGAACATCACTCCCTAACTTCCTGTGAAGCCTATAGTAGTCTTCGAGAAAACATTTTAAATGACTTGGATAGTGATCCCACCAATGAAACAGATTTAAACGAACATAGTTTACCAGTTGAGCTAATGATATCAACTGATAAAGAAACCGTAATAAAATTATCGAAATTTATCTCTTTGTGTTTTGAGAAGAGATCTAAATGCCTTGAAACTCGGAATGCTGACAGTCAATAGGCTGTCTAGTGTCTACGTAAAACCCAAACTTCAATTAGTATTGTGGCTTGGCGCCTGGAAGAGTCGAACCGATACACCTTTTGGGTTATCGTGGGTAAAACAACTTCCTCTTCTTGGTGCTACCTTTAGTGTGGGAGATTACACCATCCCCACTTGGGAAAAGCCTGTTGAAAAACTTGAATCCCGATTGTCCGCCTGGTCTGGTCGTTCGCTCTCTTTACAGGGCAAGACGACCATCATTAATAGTTTGGCGCTCTCGCAGATATGGCACTTGTGCCACGTCTTTCCAATCCCGGCGTGG